CAAACCCAGGGCCACCGGACACTCCTCCCTAGGCCCCAATTCACCCCTGCAGCTCTGTCCCCCCCACCCCTCCGCAACTCTCCACCCCAGACTCCAAGCCCAGCCCTCAGCTCCAGCAGGTGCCTTCTTCCTCCTTCCTCTGTAGCCTCTTGCCCTGCAGGGGCTGGACAAGGGTGTCAAGCAGGGAGAAGAAAAAGGGATTTTCTCATCTCCAACACAAACAGAAAGGCCAGGGGATTTCCTGTCCGGCGGGGTTAACAGGCTCTTTCACAGCCCCCTCCCCAGCCCAGCCGGGCAGAGGGGAGCCCTCCAGACAGGAAGCCCGGGAGAAGGGCTGAGCTGCCTTGAGATCACCCATGCATGCTGTTGAGTCAACAGGGAATTAAGCTTATTAGAGATCCTCAGGCTGGGGGGAAAGGAGGCTTTGCCTTTGGCTCTGTCCTTTTCAGCTGAACCAGGGGCCAAATGCAACCCCCCAGGGAGAGGACCTAGGGAGTGGTGTGCGAGGGAGCCAGGCTGGGGGTGTAAATCAGCATGCACCCCAGTGGGAGACTGGCCCAGGGTGGGATGGAAGAGAAGTGGTGCCTTATAAGTGGGAAGGAAGGGAGTCTGCAGATGAGGCCCTGGCCAGGGAGCCCTGAGCAGGGGTTGTACAGCCCCTTGCACCTGGGTGTCCAGGTCCAGGATGGGGCTCCAAGGCACTACCATGATCCACGTGACCGATGTCTCAGAGCGAAGGAGGTCGATGGGAGAATTCCTCCGGGTGTCCCGGCCCTTCAGATCCAGGGTGTTTGGACCAGCTGGTTGAGAAGACCCAGTCAACTGTGCACAAGTGACTTAGGCACTTAGGAGCCCTGAGGCCAGTCAACGGGATTTAGGCTCCCAAGTAGAGCCAGCAGCAAATTTGAGACTGGAAAATGCTGTCTCGTGGAAATCCAGCCTTTCAAACGCAGAACACAGGCTGTGATTGGTCCAGTGCATCGCGCTGCATCGTTGGGGCCGGACTGGGCCTCAATGGAGCTCAATGGAGACAAAGCGACATGGGCACTTTCACAGCGGTGGTTTACGGGACATGTCAAAGTTCTTCGTTTCTGCCCCAAACTTGCACAATCCCAAGGTTTCTGGTGAAATGTAAAGCGGAGTCCCTGCAGAGCCAGGCTCCCAAACCACCTGAACGCACTGGGAAAAGGGACTCTTCCCTCCAGCCTTTCACTCCCTCTCCTGCTTCTCCTTTCACTTTCTTGTACTCTGTCTTTCACTCTGATATCTATCTATCTATCTATCTATAATACTCTCTGTCTTTTCTCTCCAGCTCTCTGTCTATCCATCCCTCTCTCTACCACCCCGTCTGGCCACACTTGTTCTCCCTCTCTTTCTCTCTCCTTCTATCTCTTTCCTCTCTCTCCCCCTTTTCTGTATTCATCCTCAGTTCAGCCTTATTGTAGTTTATGTGGTAAAATGCCGGCATGTGATTGTTCCCTTTGTGCCTCAATCTACCCCTCTGAAGAAGCCCCCTGTCTAATCCTCCCCTCTCTAACAGCTTGGCATTGAACCCTTATTATTCTCCTTGTCAATTAGATTTTACAAAGTCTTCATATTTTCAGGAGGCGTTTTCGCTGCTTGAATGGAAATACCTACTATACAATTATGCCAGACAGAATGGCATTTTAAAGAACTCTTCCAATGCTGCTGCGGATCACAAAAATTTGCTGCTAATTTGTAGTCTTGGTGTTCACTCTTCAAGTGGTTTTTATGCCGGCGATAATTTATAGCTGCAAAACAACAGCTAGTCATAGGCGAATAAATAAAATCCCCGGCGCTGATAATGAATGAGCTCACCTTTCCCTGCGGTTCAAGCAGCAAGATCCTCCCCCCAACCGCCCCGAATCCTGCCCCCAGCCAGCTCCACCCTCGGGACCCTCAGAAGTTCCCCCTCCTCTGCCTCTTGAGTTGCATGGAGGGATGATATGCTGCCCCCCAGCTCAACAGAGCTTCTGGCTGGGCTCAGACTGGGGACAGCTAGGGTACTGAAGCCACTTCTGCCGCTGCCCTGCTCTGGGACACCCCGTGCCTCAGTTTCCCCACATGCTGCCCTGCTTCTGGGGTCAGAAGCAAAGGCACTGACATGCTTCCGCACGCCGGAGGGGCACACGCACATGGTCATGTATGTGTGGGCAGCACGTGGCCTGTGTGCAAGGTTTTGCCCAGGCCCAGGGCTGTCGTGCCAGCTGGATGTGGGGTGATGGGGAGGAGAGGGGGAGGCCGGTGCTTAAGAGAACTGGGAGGATGCTGGAGCGTGAGTGTCTCTGGCCCCTGCCTCTCTCTGCTGTACCCCCCACCCCGGCCTTGGGCCTGGCTCAGATCAGGATCCAGCACAAAGTGAAGGTCAAGGCGAGGTCACCGCTCCATTGATCACTGCTGCCGGAGGGAATATGGCAGCTGGGAGCCGGCCGTTAACACCTTCCCTGCCGAGGCCTGGCCCAGATGCAGCTTTCTTCCACCCCCTCACCCTCCGGGGCCTCCCAGGGTGCCTACTCCAGCCCCGCTTGATTGCAAAGATGCAGGGTCTTGGGTGGGACTGAGAGGGCATCAAAGCCCTGGATGTGAACGCAGCTTGTGCAGATGCGTGACCATGCGTGCAAGGGCACAGGGGGTGATATATGTGCACGGGAGCGAGCTCACCACTGTGGAGGGATAGGGGTAGGTGCATGTGCAAGGGAGTGACCTCACTGCTGTGAAGCTGTAGGCACTGCTTCCCCCACAGCCCATTCCCACAACGCTACTGGACAAGGCACCCCCCTCCCTCACCCAGCTGCCTGCCTGCAGTGAGAGGTAAACACCAGAGGAGAGACAAGTAGGAGCTGACTGGGCCCGTCTACATATGCATTTAAGTGAGACTAAATTTAATGCACCTTAAGCTAATGTGCATTAAGTGGTTTTTGGCAGGTGTCTACACATGCAGGGACTTGGCACTAAAGTTAGTGCACTTGGCACTGAAGGTAGTGCCAAGCCCCTGCAGCCCAGCCATGTGCTCCTAGTGGCTGGGCAGACCCGGCACTCAAGTTAGAGCTGGGTCATGTCAACATGCGGATTAAAACACTTTAACTAATCACGCCTAAATTTGATACCTGCATTTGCCTAATTTCTAACCTGATTAGCTTAATTTCACCATTTTTAATGCACATAAAGGGCACGCACATGTAGACACACACTCATAATGTGCATTAAATTAGTCTAACGCGCATTAATGCGCTCACCGAGTAATGCGCTCACCGAGTCCTAAAAGTGCTGTGGTCCAGGACCAAGAAGTGCCACCTGGAGCCCTTCTGGGAACCAGCCTGTGCTGCACTTGTCTGCCCCGTGCTGCTGCAGCCAGGTAGCAGAGAGGGGACCAGGGGCATTAGTAGCCAGGTAGCAGAGAGGGATACATGGTGACTTGTGTGATGCCCGCAGAGCTCTGAGTGATGAGGGAGGATTTTAGGCTGCTTTTCACATTGCCTACATCTCTGTTGCCCCTCCTGGGATGGTCCAGAGCTCTGAGCCAATTTAAACATAACCTGTGCAGGTTGTGACCCCATGAGATGCTGGGGCAGGGCTGGGCTGCACCGCTGTGGCTGCA